GTGTATCCATACTTCCATTATTCAACATTTGTTTCTATGTGTTTGTAGATCTTGTTTTAAGGCCAAAATTATTTCAATATATAAGATGGCTGAAAAAAAGGTCAAAGGCATTGTGGGATGCATTTACAACAAAATTTTCTGTGAGATATGTGTGGAAGAGGTCAATGCCGGTAATCATTCTAATAGTACTTTTAATAAATTAAGGTGGAAAAATGTGGGAAAAAAATTTAATGAAAGAACAAACAAGCATTATATTTATAAACAACTAATAAATTGGTGGGATGCATTAAAAAGTGATTGGGTTTTGTGGAATCAACTCTTAAAGCTAGAAACGGGATTAGGGTGGAATCATGAAAAAGGCACAATTGATGCTACTCCTCAACAATGGGCTGAATTAAAAGTAGTTAGTTGTATTCTTTTATTGTTAATGATTTGTAATTTTTTGCATGTAACTTTGTTAATTTTAACTTTAAACTTCTAATATGTTATATTTATTATAGGAGAACAAGGAATATGGTAAATTTGAGCATCATGGATTAGAAAACACAGTGGAGTTGCAGCAAATGTTTGACACAATAGTAGTCGTCGGTGAAACTGCATGGATTTCAGCTGTTGGGCCTATTCCTCCAAAACAACAGAATGTGGGGTTTGAAGATGCTATTGATTTGGAAGAAGGAAATGGTGATTCTGATGAGGTGAATTTCATGCCAACACAAACTGGTGGAAGCAGTGAAAAAGGAAGAAAAACACAATTGGTCCTTCACTTACCAGCAAAGGGAAGAAAGTGAAATTAAGGGGTGCAGCATACATGCAAAGACAATTGAATCGTCTTTGTGATGCAGTTGAAAGTTATACCACAACTACTTTGAGTGAATCATCAAAGAAGAATTATGAAGCACATGCTGATAGCACTGAAGAATGTATGGAGTTGTTGTTAACTTTACCTGAAGTTGAAGATGGAAATGAGCTTTTTATGTTAGGTACTCGTTTGTTTGTGAAATGAGAATATAGAAATATGTTTAGGAGTATAAAATCAGTTAACTCAAAACTTTCTTAGCTACAGCAAGAGTCGAAAAGGGACAAGATAAGGTTTGAGAAGGAGAGGGAGAGATTCGGTAGTAGAAGGCATTACTAGGATGTTTGTATTTGAGTTTCTAGTATTAAGACATTTGTACTACTTGTATTTGAGATACAAAACTGTTTTCTTTTTTATTTGTATTTTCGTTATATGTGGACTAATATTATGAATTTATGTCTTTTTCATAATGTTGTTGCTTAGAAATTGGACTGGTGATTTATAGTTCAAATAAGGATTCTATATTAATTCATGTTTAGATTATCACTTACTTTGAAATATTAAGGTTTTTTGTTTGTTAATTTGTAAAAGTTAATAAAAAGTTAAAAAAAAGTTAAAATAATATGATTCATACAATTTAGAATTAATGGTGTCCACATTATCTAAAAGGGAAGGGGCAATTTGCATAAGTTTTAAAATTAAAAGTGTAGATTTTACATAAAAATAAGTTTTGGGTTAAATCATTACAATCAAAGAATTTTAGGGGCTAGTAAACCTTTTTACCTTTTATATCAAAAGTAGCAATATGGACACCCGTGATGCAGCATCTCAATAGCTAAGGATAGTAGGCATGCACTGCCCAAGAGCTGATTTCAGTGCATGCGTTGGGATAGTAGGCATGCACTGCGCAAGTGTTGTATTTCAATCACATCAAAAAAGAAAGTCTGTCTTAAGAAAAGATTTCTCAATTACATGAAAAAAATCTAAACATACATAAAAACACAACACTCTATTTAAATCACAACACCCTCATGCACTTCTCCCAAATTCAATTTACGTCTAAGAGTTCAAGAGTTCAAGAGTTCATTATTGTTCAACTTAAGAGAAAGATAAAAAGCTATGTTATCTTATTTTTAAAAAATTTTTAATTTAGTTGTAAAAATAATTAGATTGGTTTTTTGTGTTCATATGTGGATCCTGATGTTTTTCTTTTTCTTGGTAGATGGATTTAGATCCAAGGTGGAATTATGAAAATAGTGATGAGTGTGAGGTGGAGGAAGAAAATAGTGATGAGGATGAGATGGAGGAACAAGCCATAGAACAAAGAGAAAAGCAAGTGGAAGGTAGACAAAAAAGAGATAATATATTTTATTCTCTTGTTCACTTAGGTGCTTCAATATCTTCAAAATATATTTCATAATATCTTAACAAACAAAAAAGGAGAGTTTTAAGACTTTCAGGTTGGTAATGGGTGCAAGAGACATTGGAAACTCCAAGTGAAAGTTATAAATAATTTAGAATGGAATCACATGTTTTTACGAGATTATGTTCTTTGTTAGTTAATAATTATGGCCTAACATCAACAAGAGAAATATGTGCAGAAGAATCACTTGCAATGTTTCTTTGGACATGTGCACAAAATCAATCTAATCGAAATGTACAAAATCATTTTAAACATTCGGGACAAACAATCAATAGAAAATTTGGTGAGGTTCTTAATGCAATGGTGAGGTTTTCAATTGACATTGTGAAACCACCTGATTATAATTTTACCGAAACTCCCAATAAGATTGGACAAGATAGTAGGTTAGTAGGTTTTGGCCTCATTTTAAAGGATGTATTGGTGCAATTGATGGTACACATGTTAGAGCCACGATCCCTGAAGAAGACCTAATACCATTTATAGGTCGCAAAGGCATCCCCACTCAAAATGTGATGGTAGTTTGTAATTTTGACATGATATTTACATTTGTGATTATAGGGTGGCCTGGATCTACTCATGATGCACGTGTTTTTACCCATATATTGGAAAATCATAAGAATGTGTTTCCTTATCCTCTTGATGGTAATAATTTTCTATTTATTTTGTGTTATAGTTTTTAAGCACAATTCTTAATGAATTTTTAAGAAAGTTTTCCGTATTTATTATTAATGACTTCTCTCTTATATTTTAGGTAAATATTATCTTATTGATGCTGGTTATCTTAATATAAATGGATATTTCACACCTTATAAAGGAGAAAGGTATCACATTCCTGATTTTAGACGTGAAAGCCAACTAATCAGTTATCAAGAAGTATTCAACCATCCTCATTCTTGTCTTAGAAATGTCATTGAATGATCTATTAGGTGTTGGAAAAATAGATTTGAAATATTGTTCGACATGCGAAGTTATTCATTTACAACACAGAAGAAGATAGTAACTGCAACCAAGGTTTTAAAACTCGAACCGAGCATAAAACAAGTTTGCTCACCGGTTCTCAGTTTAATCAGTCCAACGGTTCAATCGGTCGGTTGGCCGGGTCAAAGGCAAAATGCAAAGACAAAAGTGCAGTGTTTTCCTGGCATCATTCTGCTGCAGTTTTCTCTTTTTTTTCCTTGCAATTTGTAGCAACCACAAGTCCAAAAACTCAATGAACACATAAAACAAGTCCAAAAACTCAATAAATACATTAAAAAAATCCAAAAACTCAATAAATACATAAAAAAAGGTATCATACAACTATAAATCTCAAAATT